ACGAGGCGAGGCTCGAGTAGACGAAGAGCGAGACGAGGCGCACTCGAGGCGGAGGCAGAGACAGCCGCCCGCCCGCTACGCCGCCCACGAGGTGGCACACGAGACGAGGCTCGAGTACACAAAGAGCGAGACAAGGCGCACTCGAGGCGGAGGCAGAGACAGCCGCCCGCCCGCCACCCCGCCCACGAGGCGGCACACGAGACGAGGCAAGAGTAGACGAAGAGCGACGCGAGGCTCACTCGAGGCGGCGGCAGAGACAGCCGCCCGCCCGCGACGCCGCCCACGAGGTGGCACACGAGACGAGGCTCGAGTAGACGAAGAGCGAGACAAGGCGCACTCGAGGCGGAGGCAGAGACAGCCGCCCGCCCGCCACCCCGCCCACGAGGCGGCACACGAGACGAGGCTCGAGTAGACGAAGAGCGAGACGAGGCTCACTCGAGGCGGCGGCAGAGACAGCCGCCCGCCCGCCACGCCGCCCACGAGGCGGCACACGAGACGAGGCAAGAGTAGACAAAGAGCGACACGAGGCTCACTCGAGGCGGCGGCAGAGACAGCCGCCGGCCACGCCACGCCGCCCACAAGGCGGCACACGAGACGTGGCTCGAGTAGACAAAGAGCGAGACAAGGCGCACTCGAGGCGGCGGCAGAGACAGCCGCCCGCCCGCCACGCCGCCCACGAGGCGGCACACGAGACGAGGCTCGAGTAGACGAAGAGCGACACGAGGCTCACTCGAGGCGGAGGCAGAGACAGCCGCCCGCCCGCCACCCCGCCCACAAGGCGGCACACGAGACGAGGCTCGAGTAGACGAAGAGCGACACGAGGCTCACTCGAGGCGGCGGCAGAGACAGCCGCCCGCCCGCCACGCCGCCCACGAGGCGGCACACGAGACGAGGCTCGAGTAGACGAAGAGCGAGACGAGGCTCACTCGAGGCCGCGGCAGAGACAGCCGCCCGCCCGCCACGCCGCCCACGAGGCGGCACACGAGACAAGGCTCGAGTAGACAAAGAGCGAGACGAGGCGCACTCGAGGCGGAGGCAGAGACAGCCGCCCGCCCGCTACGCCGCCCACGAGGTGGCACACGAGACGAGGCTCGAGTAGACGAAGAGCGAGACAAGGCGCACTCGAGGCGGAGGCAGAGACAGCCGCCCGCCCGCCACCCCGCCCACGAGGCGGCACACGAGACGAGGCTCGAGTAGACGAAGAGCGAGACGAGGCTCACTCGAGGCGGCGGCAGAGACAGCCGCCCGCCCGCCACGCCGCCCACGAGGTGGCACACGAGGCGAGGCTCGAGTAGACGAAGAGCGAGACGAGGCGCACTCGAGGCGGAGGCAGAGACAGCCGCCCGCCCGCTACGCCGCCCACGAGGTGGCACACGAGACGAGGCTCGAGTACACAAAGAGCGAGACAAGGCGCACTCGAGGCTGAGGCAGAGACAGCCGCCCGCCCGCCACCCCGCCCACGAGGCGGCACACGAGACGAGGCTCGAGTAGACAAAGAGCGAGACGAGACGCACTCGAGGCGGCGGCAGAGACAGCCGCCCGCCCCCTACGGCGCCCACGAGGTGGCACACGAGGCGAGGCTCGAGTAGACAAAGAGCGAGACGAGAAGCACTCGAGGCGGCGGCAGAGACAGCCGCCCGCCACGCCACCCCGCCCACGAGGCGGCACACGAGACGAGGCTCGAGTAGACGAAGAGCGACACGAGGCTCACTCGAGGCGGCGGCAGAGACAGCCGCCCGCCCGCCACGCCGCCCACGAGGCGGCACACGAGACGAGGCTCGAGTAGACGAAGAGCGAGACGAGGCTCACTCGAGGCGGCGGCAGAGACAGCCGCCCGCCCGCCACGCCGCCCACGAGGCGGCACACGAGACAAGGCTCGAGTAGACAAAGAGCGAGACGAGGCGCACTCGAGGCGGAGGCAGAGACAGCCGCCCGCCCGCTACGCCGCCCACGAGGTGGCACACGAGACGAGGCTCGAGTAGACGAAGAGCGAGACAAGGCGCACTCGAGGCGGAGGCAGAGACAGCCGCCCGCCCGCCACCCCGCCCACGAGGCGGCACACGAGACGAGGCAAGAGTAGACAAAGAGCGACACGAGGCTCACTCGAGGCGGCGGCAGAGACAGCCGCCCGCCCGCCACGCCGCCCACGAGGTGGCACACGAGGCGAGGCTCGAGTAGACGAAGAGCGAGACGAGGCGCACTCGAGGCGGAGGCAGAGACAGCCGCCCGCCCGCTACGCCGCCCACGAGGTGGCACACGAGACGAGGCTCGAGTACACAAAGAGCGAGACAAGGCGCACTCGAGGCGGAGGCAGAGACAGCCGCCCGCCCGCCACCCCGCCCACGAGGCGGCACACGAGACGAGGCAAGAGTAGACAAAGAGCGACGCGAGGCTCACTCGAGGCGGCGGCAGAGACAGCCGCCGGCCACGCCACGCCGCCCACAAGGCGGCACACGAGACGTGGCTCGAGTAGACAAAGAGCGAGACAAGGCGCACTCGAGGCGGCGGCAGAGACAGCCGCCCGCCCGCCACGCCGCCCACGAGGCGGCACACGAGACGAGGCTCGAGTTGACGAAGAGCGACACGAGGCTCACTCGAGGCGGAGGCAGAGACAGCCGCCCGCCACGCCACCCCGCCCACAAGGCGGCACACGAGACGAGGCTCGAGTAGACGAAGAGCGAGACGAGACGCACTCGAGGCGGCGGCAGAGACAGCCGCCCGCCCGCCACGCCGCCCACGAGGCGGCACACGAGACGAGGCTCGAGTAGACGAAGAGCGAAACGAGGCTCACTCGAGGCCGCGGCAGAGACAGCCGCCCGCCCGCCACCCCGCCCACGAGGCGGCACACGAGACGAGGCTCGAGTAGACGAAGAGCGAGACGAGGCTCACTCGAGGCGGCGGCAGAGACAGCCGCCCGCCCGCCACGCCGCCCACGAGGCGGCACACAAGGCGGGGCTCGAGTAGACGAAGAGCGAGACGAGGCTCACTCGAGGCGGCGGCGGAGACAGCCGCCCGCCCGCCACGCCGCCCACGAGGCGGCACACGAGACGACGCTCGAGTAGACGAAGAGCGAGACGAGGCTCACTCGAGGCGGCGGCGGAGACAGCCGCCCGAGACGAGGCGCACTCGAGGCAGAGGCAGAGACAGCCGCCCGCCCGCCACTCCGCCCACGAGGCGGCACACGAGACGAGGCTCGAGTAGACGAAGAGCGAGACGAGGCTCACTCGAGGCGGCGGCAGAGACAGCCGCCCGCCCGCCATGCCGCCCACGAGGCGGCACACGAGACGAGGCTCGAGTAGACGAAGAGCGAGACGAGGCTCACTCGAGGCGGAGGCAGAGACAGCCGCCCGCCCGCTACGCCGCCCACGAGGTGGCACACGAGACGAGGCTCGAGTACACAAAGAGCGAGACAAGGCGCACTCGAGGCGGAGGCAGAGACAGCCGCCCGCCCGCCACCCCGCCCACGAGGCGGCACACGAGACGAGGCAAGAGTAGACAAAGAGCGACACGAGGCTCACTCGAGGCGGCGGCAGAGACAGCCGCCGGCCACGCCACGCCGCCCACGAGGCGGCACACGAGACGTGGCTCGAGTAGACAAAGAGCGAGACAAGGCGCACTCGAGGCGGCGGCAGAGACAGCCGCCCGCCCGCCACGCCGCCCACGAGGCGGCACACGAGACGAGGCTCGAGTTGACGAAGAGCGACACGAGGCTCACTCGAGGCGGAGGCAGAGACAGCCGCCCGCCACGCCACCCCGCCCACAAGGCGGCACACGAGACGAGGCTCGAGTAGACGAAGAGCGAGACGAGACGCACTCGAGGCGGCGGCAGAGACAGCCGCCCGCCCGCCACGCCGCCCACGAGGCGGCACACGAGACGAGGCTCGAGTAGACGAAGAGCGAGACGAGGCTCACTCGAGGCCGCGGCAGAGACAGCCGCCCGCCCGCCATGCCGCCCACGAGGCGGCACACGAGACGAGGCTCGAGTAGACGAAGAGCGAGACGAGGCTCACTCGAGGCGGCGGCAGAGACAGCCGCCCGCCCGCCACGCCGCCCACGAGGCGGCACACGAGACAAGGCTCGAGTAGACAAAGAGCGAGACGAGGCGCACTCGAGGCGGAGGCAGAGACAGCCGCCCGCCCGCTACGCCGCCCACGAGGTGGCACACGAGACGAGGCTCGAGTAGACGAAGAGCGAGACGAGGCTCACTCGAGGCGGCGGCAGAGACAGCCGCCCGCCCGCCACGCCGCCCACGAGGTGGCACACGAGGCGAGGCTCGAGTAGACGAAGAGCGAGACGAGGCGCACTCGAGGCGGAGGCAGAGACAGCCGCCCGCCCGCTACGCCGCCCACGAGGTGGCACACGAGACGAGGCTCGAGTAGACGAAGAGCGAGACAAGGCGCACTCGAGGCTGAGGCAGAGACAGCCGCCCGCCCGCCACGCCGCCCACGAGGCGGCACACGAGACGAGGCTCGAGTAGACGAAGAGCGAGACGAGGCTCACTCGAGGCGGCGGCAGAGACAGCCGCCCGCCCGCCACGCCGCCCACGAGGTGGCACACGAGACAAGGCTCGAGTAGACAAAGAGCGAGACGAGGCGCACTCGAGGCGGCGGCAGAGACAGCCGCCCGCCACGCCACCCCGCCCACGAGGCGGCACACGAGACGAGGCTCGAGTAGACGAAGAGCGAGACGAGGCTCACTCGAGGCGGCGGCAGAGACAGCCGCCCGCCCCCCACGCCGCCCACGAGGCGGCACACGAGGCGAGGCTCGAGTAGACGAAGAGCGAGACGAGGCTCACTCGAGGCGGCGGCGGAGACAGCCGCCCGCCCGCCACGCCGCCCACGAGGCGGCACACGAGACGAGGCTCGAGTAGACGAAGAGCGAGACGAGGCTCACTCGAGGCGGCGGCGGAGACAGCCGCCCGAGACGAGGCGCACTCGAGGCAGAGGCAGAGACAGCCGCCCGCCCGCCACTCCGCCCACGAGGCGGCACACGAGACGAGGCTCGAGTAGACGAAGAGCGAGACGAGGCTCACTCGAGGCGGCGGCAGAGACAGCCGCCCGCCCGCCAAGCCGCCCACGAGGCGGCACACGAGACAAGGCTCGAGTAGACGAAGAGCGAGACGAGGCTCACTCGAGGCGGCGGCAGAGACAGCCGCCCGCCACGCCACCCCGCCCACGAGGCGGCACACGAGACGAGGCTCGAGTAGACGAAGAACGAGACGAGGCGCACTCGAGGCGGCGGCAGAGACAGCCGCCCGCCCGCCACGCCGCCCACGAGGCGGCACACGAGGCGAGGCTCGAGTAGACGAAGAGCGAGACGAGGCGCACTCGAGGCGGCGGCGGAGGCAGCCGCCCGCCCGCCACGCCGCCCACGACGCGGCACACGAGACGAGGCTCGAGTAGACGAAGAGCGAGACGAGGCGCACTCGAGGCGGCGGCGGAGACAGCCGCCCGCCCGCCACGCCGCCCACGAGGCGGCACACGAGACGAGGCTCGAGTAGACGAAGAGCGAGACGAGGCTCACTCGAGGCGGAGGCAGAGACAGCCGCCCGCCCGCCACGCCGCCCACAGGGCGGCACACGAGACGAAGCAAGAGTAGACAAAGAGTGACACGAGGCTCACTCGAGGCGGCGGCAGAGACAGCCGCCGGCCACGCCACGCCGCCCACAAGGCGGCACACGAGACG